CTTAATATAATTATTTGAAATAATGGTTTATAATCCCATTAATATGCGCTTATCATTAATTTCTAATACTTGGAAATTATGAAATAATAATTATTCACATTTAATGGCAATGCATTTAAAATATAAAATAAGATCTATTTTTCAAAAGAAAACTCTCGACTAAAATAAGTACTTAAATGCAATAAATTGGACGAAACATTGCATTTACACAACAATATTGAGTGAAATGTATTGATTTAGTAAATGAGGTTTAATATGGAATATAACCACAAAATATATAAATAACTAATACATAAATATTAATATCATTTCTGAGTGAAAACAAAGCGATGATACAAATCGATACATACAATAAAATCTGGTAATTTGTCGAGAAATTCTTGAACCAACGGAGCGTTTGATGTCTCGCCGAGTAAACGATCCCCAAAACCCTGGAGCACCACTTCCTCCAGAGTGGACAAATTACCCTGACGGATTAACTCCTTGATGTTACTCCGATGCATTAGTGAACCTGTCAACAGTTAGCACGTATTTTTGAAATAAATTTACCAAGAAACCCGGTGTATATATCACGTTGTGATATAACGTTGCGTAAGAATATAATATGTGTGTACAGAATATAATGTACATGTATTGAGAGGCAAATGCGTGAAGCATTCAGTGCTGTATATATTTGAATATTATATTATATTCTTATTTCTATTAATGTATTGATATATTGCTCTCAATATTCCCAGAATTACAGTAAACGACAAATATTTAATGAATAATATTATTACAAGAATTTGTCCCTATATTTAAGGAAATAATAAATTCTTGATAGGGGAAACTAATATTTTTAGTACTAAATTAAAATTAGTTTTAAATTAAAAAATAACCTCTCTCTCTCTCTCTCTCTCTCTCTGTTATTCATTCACTCACTCACTCATTATATTTATGCTACCTATCTATTGATTATTAAAATTAAATACAATAATATTATTACTTTTATAATAATAACTTGAATGAATTACTACTTAAATCTAATATTTATTATAAAACAGAAAATTATATAAAAAATAAATTTAATTAATATTTTGCATACATTACGGTCGCAGAGAATTGAATAAAATAATAGTTAAATATTAAATTAAATCGATTGACAAAAAAGCATTTAGTGTTATATTTCTTAGAAACA